TGTATGTATGTATGTATGTATGTATATATGTATGTATGTATGAATGTATGTATGTATGTATGTATGAACAAGCCAGCTCCTTGCCTGTCCACAGCGGGCATGTCTGAGGACAGCGACTACACGAGTGACATCAACTACCCGGTGCAGCACCAGCACAACACCTCGGCCCACCAGTACCGCAGCCACCCGGACCACCCTTACAGACTGCGGGACGACGACAGCCGGGAGACCATCCGATACGACGACAGTTTCGACCAGTCCTTCGATCAGAGATCTCTGGGCCACCAGTCTCTGGACCAGCGCTCGTTAGAGCAGTCGTACTGCGACGAGGACGATGTAGACGACGAGGACGAGTACGATGAGAGGAGGAGGAGGGTCGATGATGGGGAGCCGCCGCCGCCACACGGGTTCCGAAGAGATCACAGTTACCAGAACGAGTTGGAGGATTACGAGCAGGAGGACGAGGAGGAGGAGGAGGAGGACGGCGACGAGTACTACAACCCCCACCACCACCCGCACCACAACCCGCACCACAACCACCACCACCACCACCACCTTCATCATCACCATGACGACCACGACGGCGCGCCGTACCATCATGGCCGGAGCGACACGGACTCGGACATCCTCTTCTACAACAGTCGGCCCAACAGCAGACCTCAGTCTTTCATTCAGGACAGGTGGGTGGAAGCGTATTTGTTTGTTTGTTTGTTTGTTTTTGATGGTCGTTTAGTACTGGGGAAAAAGAAAGACAGACACGGACAGGTACAACAGTAAGTTACAGAAGGTTTCATCTGAAGATATACTGTCGTGAGTCCTACAGATGGTGTCAGATGGCTTCTTAGACTTATTCTTTCATCTCCGAGTGGACGTGCACACTGATTGGGAGGAGTTTGTGAACGAAAAAAACTAGGCTAGATGTACGAGTTTTAGACACCTGTAAATGCCATTGTATCTGCTCACGTTAAGTTCCTTTAGTCTTTTGTGGTGCACGGTACGGTTATTTAAAACGTGGGACATGCAAACTTAACGTCCATCTCTGATAGGACCGGACGAACTAACGCCTCTTGCCACGTTCATTTAATTCTTGGAAGGACGCATTTTTAACTTGTGTCAGATCATTTCAACCTGAAACACTTGACACAAACTGAATTCAACACAAGACCGATTGGCAATACCCTTGAGATAATGATTTAAAAAAGGAACAAATGAGCGGACTTGGCATCACCGGAGAGGCCTTTGTGTGCCCTTTTTGTACCCCTTTTAGTCAGGAACCGCACCTGATCCCTTATGTTTCAACTCTTTGTTCAAAGATCCCGGCTTTCAAGTGTCCAACTGCTTTGTGAACGTTCAACTTTTTCAGTAGCTATGCGTAGAAAGAACCACGGGGCCTGTGTATTACCGGTCCCCTTTGAATAGGTCACTATGTATTAGTTATTAACCAAAACACTCCCACTCCTTTCTTTATCAAGCTGAGACTGCAAATGAAAGAGGAAAGGATGCTTGAACGCCGTCTTCTATTTTTCTCGATGAATTTTAAAGTAACATTTCAAGGTTACTGAGCATGTCGAGGAAGGATGGTTCTCACGTTTCACTGTGATGAGGAGGTTGTTAGACATTGAAACACCCTCATCGTGAATGTATCCCAAATAGAAGGTTGATTACTTTCAGAAACGAAAAGTGACAACCTTGACCTTTTCTGTTCTCGAAAACGTACGGAGAAGACCTTGGG